CCTTTGCAGCCAAAAGGATGGATCATCCAGAGAGTGTTTCATCTTTTCCTATGGCAGGTACTTTTAAAAAGCACATACAGTAAACCACAGCAAGAAGGTTGCCTAATTCTCTCTAGTAACTACTAGAAAATTTAGGATGACAAGCTCAGGCTTGTGTGGTCATGATCATGTTACAACAATAGTGAAAAAAACAATATATAATTATTTTCAGTAAATAACAGCCACACAACAAAAAAACTGAAACAGTTGAGTAACAATCAGTCAGACCATGAGCACCTATTCAGATACTGAATATCAAAAAAAAACTTACCACAAACCCTTGACTGCATCAGCTTCTAAAAAATATTGCATGGAATCAGGATACCAGAATGCCATTTAGTGTATCTGTCACTAAAAGCAGCTTCTGCAGCAGCAGCTAAATAGGGGATCATATATCACAGACTTTAATAGCGAATTCTTTTTTGATTGTTTTATTTCCAGGAAAAAGTCACCCAGATTGCACTGAGTACTTCTATGAAATCTCAGTTTAAGTTTTATTTTCTGATTATCTTTTCATTTTTTCTCTTTGAGGAAGAGAAACACTTCTCTGAGTGTTTGATCTCATTAAATACAATGAAAAACTCCAGAAGTCTTTCAAATGAACTGCAATATTTGGGAGCTAATAAAGTATTTTCTCTCAAGTACTAATGAATTCCCTATAGTAGTGCAGACTTTTCTACCAGAGAAAATCATAGTTTAGTTTTCCAGGATCAAGTCTGAAATGTCAGACTGCTTCTATAACCTCCCCGCCACAAGCATCTGAAATGTTGTAAACAGATTTACTTCCTGGATTTGGCATTCAAAACTGATGCTTCTTCTTTACTGTTATTTTTTCATTTCTTAACTAATTAGAAGTTTTAAGTCCACCTTCTAGACCTTTATTCTACTGCTGGGAGATCAACTATTAAAAAAGAATAATGTGAATTTTGAATCCTCTCCATATTCAGGCTTCTGCTATTTTTTTTCTGGTCTTCAGAATTCTACTCAAGAAAATACACCAGAGATTTAAAGAAAGTAGTGAAGTATATGGACACTAAACAATCCCTTTTGGTTATTATTTCTGAGCAATCATTCTGTCTCAATGCTTCCCACAGACTCCTGTAACTCTGCAACTCATGAGGACTGCACCTGAATGAGTATGAACAGGGAGGGACATCAGTCAAAATATCACAATACTTTGTAATTATTCTCTTTAAAATGTATTTGTCTAGAGTCTGATCCACGTACTATTTTATTTCTCATTAATTACTATTTTGACTCCTCAAAATCTTCCTGGTCTGGATTTTTTAAAAGTGTACTTAAAATCCAAATTTATGGGGTTAACCAGTTCTCTTTTATCTCCTAACTTATTATAGTGTTCAAACCCTTCTTTCCAATATTTTCATATACTGAAATTGAGGTTCAGTGGATACCAAGAATTATTGCCTCAGAAAGGGTTTTTTCTTATTAAATAAGGCTCCAAATTCTGCAATTTAGATTCTCAGCAGGTTTTTAGCAGATTGGCTACTTTATTATTGAGTTGTATTAGATCACCCTTGGAAAAATACCAGCAGCTCTCTCTTAAACATTTCAATTTGTTAAAGTGTAACATTCCTTCATCATCTTACCTCTTGTGCCTCAATCTCTATTTTTTAGGGGATAAATTAATTCTCAAACGAATATAATGTGATGAAGATACTCGTAACATTCACATAAATGTAGCTTCAATATACATATCCTCTCTATTTGGATCCTTTACTTCATTAGAATCCCACAAATTGAATTATTATGTTAATGGCTATTTAATTCTGAATGATTCACTTTTCCTAGCCCTGTAAGCCTAAGGAAGAAAGCTATAGCTGGAGTGCACTTACATAATTTCCATTCACAGATCTGAATCTGCTCACTTTGTAGCTTATCTGATATTAAGCAGTTCTCTGTTGAAGTGTTCTGTAACATACAGTGCTTGGCATGACAGACTCAATAAAGTTTTCCAGTATGTACTGTATGAAGTTTATCTTATGTTTGCATATTGCACTGAAATTAGAGATATCTGTACTGGATACACAAAATAAGTGCTTTCAAAATATTATCTCATTGTATATTCCCTGAGTTCAATTATCTCTTTTCTCTTCATCTCTGTAGCGTTTTGTTTGCATCACCACCTGGTTCTTGATATTCTTCCCTTTTATCTCTTTGTTCTGTTTTCATTCTTTATATTTTTTTTTCTGTACTTTTCTACAGTTTTTTGTTGTTTGTTTGTTTGTTTGTTTTTCTCTTCTTCTCTGTGAAGAAAAATAAAAGCCACACGGTTTGTCAGATAGTAGAAAATAAATGTTTGGGAATGTTGTAGAATCCTGTCATGGAAACAGTTACTTCCATCACATCAGCATATCAGTGCCACAATAATTGCTTCTGGTATGTTACAAATGCAGTACACGTAATCTGTCGGGGGGAAAAGCACCAAGCTGCCACTTTTTTAAACATGTGAAATATAGTGCACGGAAGACAAGTTAATATTTTAAGCAGAAAGCCAATCTACAGTAACCCACAGGGGCTTCTTCATCACCTACAATTTACATCTTATGGACAAGCTGAAAAGTCCCTTTTTTGACATCCTCTATAATAATCAAAAAACTTTGACAATACATAGGCTTTGAGGATTTCCTGGATGGTTGGTTGCCTACATTGTACCATTTAGTTGAATTTTATTAGTTAAATGCAAGAATATGAAATAGAAAGTATCTCCTGACATGCCTAGACATCTGATAAAAACAGAAAACAGAAGTTTAGTGTAAAAATGTTTGCAAGTGGATAAGGTTTGTTGCTATACACTTGCTGTTTGGCCTGAATTGACTGCCTACTCCTTTAGTCACACCTGTCTGAGACCTAAAGTTCAGACATCCCTGAGCTTAATCCTCCTGGAGAACTCAAATTGCTAGTTATGTTCTCAGATCAGAATTTAGTTTCAGAAAAAATGTGATAAACAGTGGTGGTAGAGAGATTTTAAGTAACAGGCCTCTTACACGAGAAGTTGCTCAGAGAGGCAAATCATGACTTTACTGGCAGATTAGCAACTGGAAAAAGTATTTAAACTCTCTTCACTGTAACTGTTACTATTTCTTAATACAGCAAATGTCCTTACTTCTCTATTTGGTGATTTTCCTCCTGAAATACACCCAGGCTAAAGAAAAACAACCCAAGCATTTATGAACAATCCTTGGTTAGCTCTTGTGTGTGTGTGTGAAAATCATGGAAGCACAGTATGGTTTGGGTTGAAAGGGACCTTAAAGATCATCTAGTTTCAACACCTCTGAAATGGGCAGGAACACCTCCATCCAATAGATCAGGTTGCTCAGAGCTACATCCAACTGGCCCTGAACAACACCTCCAGGGATGGAGCATCCACAACATCTCTGGGAAAACCTGTGCCAGTGCCTCATCACCCTCACAGTAAAGAATGTCTTCCTAGTGTTTAATTGAAACCTACTCTTTCATCTTGAAGCTTTTCCCTCTTGTCCTATCATTACAGTTCCTGGTGAAGAGTCCCCCTCTAGCTTCCCTGCAGACCTCTTCAGATACTGGAAAGTTGCTATGAGGTCTCCACAAAACCTCTTCTCCAGGCTGAACAGAGTCAGCTTTCTCAGCCTGACCTTGAACCATGCTTCAGTACCTCTGCTGGACTTGCTCCAACAGTTCTATCTTGTCCTTCTTGTGCCAGGGGAACAGGATGCTATGCAGCACTCTAGGTGGCATCTCATCAGAGCAGAGTGGAGGGGCAGAATCTCCTCCCTCACCCTGCTGGCCATGCTGCTTTTGATACAGTCCAGGACACAATTGGTTTTCAGGGCTGTGAGCACAAACTGCTAGGCTCAGGTTTTTTGCCAATCATCATCCACAAATCCTCGGGTTGGACAAGATGGTCTCCAGAGTCTTCTCTCAATCTAAACCATACTGCTGTTCTGTGATCCTCTGGGGCAGAGGTATAACCAGAAATCAGATTTCCTGTTCTTAAGGCAAATGCCCAAACAACGACACACTGCTGTGGAAAAAAAAGCGTGCAGTAGCATTACCTCATCACTATTTCTGGAAAAAAGGGAGAAACCAGTATTTATTTGCAGACTGATTTTAAAGTACTTAGTCTCTGAGGTATCTACCTCTACCTATTTTTAAGCCCAGGTATTTTCTGAGCATGATGTAATTTAAACTACTAGCAATCCTAGTAGATTAGGATTAAGCAGATTCTAATCCTAGTAGATTAGATTAGATTCTCTGCTGAATTTCCCCTTGAATCTATATGAGCCCTTCTACATCACAAGGACCTTCACAAATAACCATAAGGACCTTCCCAATTACTCTTAGGTAAGTAGTTCTTACCTGTGATGCAAAAGAAAATGGAAATGAAAATCTATACTGTTCAAAGGTGAGTACCATTCAGGATAATTTTAAATTAAAAAATAAATGCTGGACAATTCTTGAACTTTCATGAACTAGAGACTCAAAAAATTCAATGTCTGGGTTTTCAAAATAATTTATACATAGAAAAAGTCTTTTCTTTGGAGTAAATTTGTTTTCTCACTTTTATACCTTGATGCTGCAATGTATGTAGTGATATATTATGAATTCTACAATAAAATAAAAATTTGTAGGGCATTTTATTAAGGTACCAGAGTTACGAATTCTCAACAGCACAAAAGAAATTTTATTGTCATCTGTGATAGTAAAAATTAATTAGAATAATGAACTTTCATAAACACAGCCTTCATTTTTCAACTTCCACAGCAAAAGAGTCACCATCAGTAGCTAAAAATGCAAAAATAACTAAGCATATTCAATCTTAAAAATAAAAATCACAGAAAAGATGATTATTACAATTCATCTAAATTGTAAAAATTTGGTGATAAACTTTTCTACTGGTACCAAATAGCCCCTGTAACAATGACTCCAGTCACTCTGTATTACTTCAGAATCTGTATATTTACCCACGCACTGGAATATTCATATTCCTTGCAGATTTAGTGACTTCTTCAAACCTTTCCATGCTTTCTTCAATTGAACAATTAATATTCATTTTGTTAAAAGATTCAGATGCTGCACCAAATACTGAGACTTCTGTAGCTCCTGCTGCAATCTAAAAAATACATTTAAAGAAAACAGAATCATAACGCTGTATTAAAGTATTAGATTAGGCATTTAATTCTGTATAGCATTCTAAAATTTTAAAGTACATTAAGCATATCATCCATATCTAAAATCTAACTTTAATTCCAATTTTTTTTTAAGCTAGAGCATACAGATAGATCAAATAAAATTTTGTGATCACTCACTATGGAATATTTTCTGCCTCTTCTTAGCAATTAGTTAAACGTGTTTAAATGATGAATGACAAAGGTAATAATATGTAAGAAATCACATGAATCACCTATACAAATAACAATGATTGATATCTACATTCATCTTTTCAGAAAAGGAAAAGATCATACAACAACTCTCACACTGTCTGTTCCTCCTGAATACCAGGAAGTCATTCTTGGGAAAGCTCTCTGTGTGCATGTGCCTAGAGCAGCAACAATAACCAACAGGGATTTCCTTGTTAGAGCCAACTCTAGGATCAAGGGCTCCATTGGTCTTGGTGTCACAGTCAATAAGGATAATATGGAAAATGTGTACATGAGAGTCTGCTGAGAGAAGTCTCAGAGCAAACACCAGTCTAGAAAATGTGTAAATGTGGTGACTTCACTGAACAGGCAATTAGCCTGAGCTTGTATTCAGTACCTCAGTAAATCAACTAACATGAGGCAAACTAGAAGGCTGAAAGCCAGCTGATAGAAGAAAACATTTAAGCTTAGGAGAATAGTCAACTAACTCCCACTCTCCAGTCAGAATAACACTCTTCAATGAAAACATATGAAGTTTTTGCATTTACTCTCTGCAGGGTAATGTCTAAAATTCAGCAACAGAGACAATTCAGAGACAAATATTCTTTCAAACAGAGGGAAAAAAACATCAGCAAGGAAGAATGCAGGAATAATCTACAACTATTGTTTCATTGTTTTCCCTTCATTATATCACTAAATACAGGACAGAGATAAAGCACAATTAATTAAACTCATACAGGCTACCATAGAGGCAAAGTTGTAGCACTATAATCTGTCTGTCAATACTTAAGTCAGCTATGCACAGGTTTCTGTTTTAACAGATATCTCATTACAGGAACTGAATTTTTCAGTGAAAAAAACCTACAGCTTACTTCTAACATTAAAAAGCTAGTTTCTGGTACTGAACAGAAAGTATCTGCAACATAAAAGAGGTAAATATGGACAACTCTTATGAAGGCACTTACAGCAGAATGAAAACCTTGAAGATTAGGTGTAAGAACGGGATACTGTACTCCAGGATGCCGCTCAATACCACTCATTACTTCTTTGTGATCTGCCATCTAAAATAATTTGTATTGATCAACAGTTATTTTCTGATTTTACATAGCTAAATAGAAATTTACTCAGACTGTGGTTGTGCCTTCATTACTTGTATAGTTCATACAAAAGGTCTAACAATATAGGGGTTAAACTGACTTTATACAAATACTCTTTTTTAATTTCTTAATTTCTGACTATTTGTTTTGTGATCTTTTTAGATCTATATGATTATAGAACTGCTATACTAGGGCTAAGACTTCTACAGTGTTCCTTTGTTTGTATTTGTAAAAATATAATGTGCATCATAAATGGACAGACATGATCATGCTGTTCATAAAGTGTTACAGCAACCTGTATTTTGCTTCACTGGACTTAATAGGTGAAATTAACAGAATAGCTGAGATTTAAAAATCATAGAAATCTTGAAAACTTCAGCACTGATAAATGCAACTTTACAATGTTAAGCATAACTGAACTTGAATTACTCAATACTGTAATCAGAACATTTGAAGACTAAACATGTCTATTCTTAAGAATAAAGCAAAATCCAGTTGTCCACATAGTGCAATGTTTTAATATATTCAGAAGTTTCTTTCTAAAGAATAAAATACTTCTTTATTATAGCAAAAATCAGAGTACTTGTTTTCCTTAGTCTCCCCTCACAAAATAAAATCTGCCTTTTTAAGATACTCTTACATTTTTCTCATACATTCAAGATTAAATATACTCCCTGTACTGTATGAAGAAGATGAATTAAACACTTACTCATTTAATAAAAGGCAGATTCTTTAGATAAGCACATTTTCTTTAAAGAAGTGGGTTAAAACCGAATTTTTTCTATGGTGTGCATACCTGAAAACAATACAATTAATAAAACATATCCCTCTTATTTAATGTCTTAAAGATTCTGAGTTTTAAAAAAAGAATAGTGCATTTTAAATGCTTTTTAAATGAGTTCTCATAGAAGCAATCTCTCAAGCAAACACTATTATGTTGGATTTCTGTTTCTTTCCACACTGGTGAAAAGTATTTTGAGAAGTACCATGTGAAAATATACATGAACTACAGAGTTTTTATTACTCCTTACTTTCAGCAGATACGTTATTGATAGCTATGTAGTACCACAATTCTAAATACATGATATTAAATTATAAAACATTATTAGCTAAGAATACTAATTATAACCTGGAATCTTCCTGTCACTGGCTTCCTTCTATGAAAATGAATGGATTAAAAATATCAGAAAAATCCATGTATTCATCTTCAAATATAAACCCAACATGTATCTATAAGGAAGTGGATACATGGTGCAAGAAGTGTTTTAAAGCAAGACACAACTTGTTTCTTATCAGGAAACAAGTGATAGCACAAAACTTTTTGTATTTGCTACTATGTGAATTAAATTGGTCTGATAACATCACAAAAATCTCTGTTAGTATTTTAGGAACAATTTTTCATTCCTCAATTTAATATAAGTAATAGCTACATTTCTCAGGGCAAAAAAGAATGTCTGAAACCAAATGATAAATTAAATGGTGAATGCTGGAATTAAATTCACTCTCCACAATTATAGCCTGTCTTAAAATATACTGGAAAACCAAAATGATACTTTTTCAACCAGTATAAACCTGCCAAATCCAAATAATACTATATGTATTGAATCTGTCCCATTGTTATTTTTCCTGTAAGTAAAATCCCAACTTTGCACATATTGCATGTTATAAGATTTTAAATTGTAATAATATATTTCTTTTCCCAATTTCTTAAAAAATAAGCTTCCTAATAGTAGATATTTATACTTTTTAGCTGTTTATGTTATAGGCGTGGGATCCTGTTTTATATGGCACCTTGCTACTGCTAAACTTTTTCTTTTAGATTTTTCAGTAAAAAAAAAATCTTTGCCAAAAAACAACAGTGGATGGGAAACCATAAAATACCATTTTAAATACGAAAATGGTATAAAATACTAAAACCAGAAATAAGTGAATGAGTGATCTAAACCCTCATAGTAAATTCTATTCCCATGACCTATGAAAAAAAGAAAGAGCAAAGAAAAAGTCAAGAGTGCACTCTCTGTCAAAGCAACACAATCTTATCTTTTAAATAAAAATAAAAAAAAAACCTCTAATAAATAAATAAATAATAAAAAACACTAATTAAGCTATTAAAACAAAGTATTCAGACATGGATTTAAGACAAGAAGGGATTGCTCATTTTCTTCTAATCTGACAAACCTGTGATAATTTTGGTCCTTGTAAAGGCTCACAGGAGAAGGAAATAATTAAGAAAGGAAGAAATACACCTTTGCTTCAGACTTGTTATTCTAACATTTAAAAAACTATATTATTCTCTGTTGCAGTAACTCGCAAAGTGTGATGGCACTTAGAAAAACTTAACCTTTTCCAGTTTAGCAGACAAGATATCATTGCCCCTGTACTGACGCCAAAGAAATTCTGCATTGTCACTCTTCTGTTGGCCTTTACTATTATCTTTCTTCTAGACTCTTCCCTGGTGACCCTGAGAGCACTTAAATAAAGCAAAGGAGTCCCTCAGAGTGTTGTACAATTTGCTTTGCTAACTCATGAAGAAGCATGGCTGTACTATGCTTTTCTCGGAGAAAAGCCTAGAATACAGTCCAGGTCCAGAATCTATTCTCAGTTTAAAATGTAAAAAAAACTTTATCTGCATTTTGTCAGATGTGCAACATGCAACAGACATTGTCAAAATGGAAGTATTTTCTCAAATCAATTAACTTCTTGTTTTAATTTTTAAGTAACTTCTATGCTCCTTGTCCAATATAAAGTATTCAAATGCTCCTGTACAAACAAGTGTGCAGTTTCTTGAAGAATAGTTTAAATTACATATACAAGAATTTCCTTATTTGCAGAAAATAATTAATTTGCAATTAATTATTCTAACACAAACAGGTGCTAAATATCAAACTTCAGAACTAAGCCTGAATTTGCAGTGTTAAATCTCAAATGGAAACATGGCAATCTAATGCCAATGCAGTTCTGCTGCCAATTCAAGAAAGGCTAGGTTTCTGCTGCATTCTAGCAAATGTAAAAATTAATTCTAGAAAAATAATAAGCAAATTATTACAATCTTACAAAAAATTAAGTGTAGTTGCTGCTAGAGTGGTAGAACTCCAAAATAAGTAATGTGCCTTACTACTACATATACAGAAGTCCCAAATTTAGATCTTCCAATCACATTTCCAAATGTGGAAAACTGTATTTCATTTAGAGTAAAAGAAAATAACATATAGTAATTGTTTTTTTTTTACATGAATGACTACTAGTTTTAGAAGAGTAGCAAAGAAGTAGGAACAACATTAAATTATATTAATGTTGTGCCACCATTCCAAATCTCTATTTTCAAATTAATGTTACATAAATAAATGGAATGTCACTTAAACTGAAATAGTTCTGAATGAAGCTGATTTTGCATACCTGAGGCACCCATTTGGATGAAACAAAACTGGTCACTTCTATTGCAGGCAGGCCTGTTTTGGAAAGCTGGTTGATGAACTCAATTTTTGTATCAGTTGGGACTATCATCTATAGAGATGAAGATACACTTTAGCAAAGTATTTCATGCATAAGAAACTTTTGTAAAACAAATGTTTCCAGTACATAATCAACACTTTTTTAAAAATAATTAACTAGACTTACACATTTTACCATAATTACCATTTCCTTAAAGAAGGAAGTATAAGGAAGGTACTAGGCAGTATACAATGATCTTACTCCATTTTCTGTCCATCACAAAAGGAAGCACTTCTGTGTAATTTGTTATAGACCTGTCCTCGTTATTTCTTATTAACTAAACACCAAACTAGCAAGAACTGACAAAGGAAATACTAACAGTGTGACCAGCAAAAAATGGGAAAAAAGTTGCACAGCTGAGGCAGAGTAACTCTTATTCTGCTAATACCACTAGTATCTCTGATATCAGTAACGATATATGTGATCTTATCCTCCCATTTGTGGAAATAGATGACAGTTTCTACACATGTACCCATAATCTCTTTCAGTCTTCTTCCATGCTTCCCTACCAAGCAATTTCCCTTCCCCTCCCTTCAGGCAAATAATGCTATCAAAAGAGCAATATTTTTTTTCCCCTGTCTCTCCAGCAAGAAGCATGACAAAACCTATTTCACTATTCCTTCTACCTAACACTTGAAGCAGAAACACAAGTTACAAAGACAGCCAGTGTTTCATAGTTACCAATTATGGCACTGACAGAATGTTACTGACTGACAAGACAAATTCCAGTAAAAAGAAATGTTGAGTAACAGAAAGGCTAGATAGCCAAGTATAGAAAGAAATTATATGATCTGAAAGCTGGGTAAATAGGAATACACTTTCATTCTAATATAAAGGAAAGTTATCAATATGAAAATAGATATATTTACCATTATAAAATTAAAGAAACATAATTAGCAGGATGGACATGTTCTACACAATGAAAATAATGCTAACATCCAAGTCAAAGCACACACAAAATAGAAAGAGAAAAGTTACCTTTTCATTTTGTAAACCATCCCTCGGCCCAACTTCTACAATCTTTATGTACTCAGGCAGACCAGATGCTTGAGGTTCCTGAAATAAAAATCAATACTGAAATAAAAACCCATTAAGGTCACCAAGATCAAAAGGTACAGCTTGTACTTGTCCTTTTATATGTTTCAGGGTATAAAGTTACATTATCAACATTAAGTTTGCTCAGCGCATTTAAAAATCTGTGAGAGTATGTTCCACACCTTGACCTAAGGAATAAAAGTTAAAAACAGGAGTTAGTGAATGTTCCATTGCTCCTTTTTGGTCACAAAATTTTATTAAAAATGTATATAGAACCTTAAATGAACATTGAGTTTTACAGAGAGAAATATTTCCATTTCAAAAATCTTTCCAATGAACAATCCAGTCCTCCAAACTTATAACTGAATGTTCTCAATTTAACTAAACAGGTACTTCTCTGTAAACGTTTGCAAGACTTGGCTATAAATCTGAAAAGAACATAGCAGTCAAGAAATGTTAAAGAGATTATTAATGAAAAATTAAAGTTATTTCTCTGACTGAAAATGAAGGTTTTAAAAAAGGATTTAAAGGAGAACAAGGAAAGCCTCTAGTACAAAAGAAGAATTTTTCAGGTGTAGAGCAGCTATGGAAAGGCAAGAGGCCGACAGAGACAAGAGGGAAGGAAGGCAGCAGTAAGGTCAAAGGGCTAAGGAGAGTATGGGGAACTGGAGGGGGAGGAAGGAGAAATTAGAACAGGAAAGCAGGTGAAGGGAAATGAAACTTCCTTTTTTATTATTTAGCTGCTCTGTGATTGAATCAAGTTGACAGGTGCGGCAGTTAATGTAAACTGGACCTATAAATCCTGAAACAGTTCAGAGCAGTTGGCTGGATTAAACCCCAAAAGCTGTGTACCCTTAAAAACACACCCCATGGCTAATTTGGGGCATGCTGCCCATGCTCAGGAGTGGACAGGAGAGACACAGGCAGCCTTGCCAGAAGCTCTGGAAATTTGCTGTTTTCTGTATTGCACTGAGGACAGAAGCCAAACCAGTTCTCCATTCCAGTGTTGAAAGCCTGAGCTGGGATTAGCATGAGCTACCTGCAGGACAGCTGCTCCACTGAACCCACCACCTCTCCTGGGATTTTAACACCACTGGAAGGGTGACACTGTCAGCTCAGGGAGACAGCTCCTGGCCGTGGGAGTAACAGCTCCTCCAGACCGGAGACGCTCCGTAAATACAGCCACTAATCTCACAACATCCACAGCCAAAGGAAAACCCCATATTTTACTCCTCCCTGACTAGTATCATCAGGGTTGTTCTAACCACACAGCAGCTAATTTCTCCTCACTAATGGAAAATGAGCATGCCTATGAGCACCCTTGGTTTCTCCCTGCATTCTTGGTGCCTGTGGGCAGTTCTCTGCAGGACTTGCCAAAATACAATAAATGTATTTCAGACCATTTAATGTGTATTTATCTGAGCCCGGTAAAAAGAATGGGAAACAGCTGTATAGCATCTATTTGATCACATGGAACATCTGGTAAGTTGAAACTCTGTCAGGCCCTGCTAAGCCCACACTCACTGACAGTATAAACCTACTTAAATGTGAAGGTAAAACCTTCACATCTGCTGCATATTGTTCCTCTTAAGTTATTTTCACAAATATGGCACTGCTTCAGCACTAAGGGCATAAATCTGGGTTATTTCATGATTATCAGATCCTTCTTGTTGCAAGACAAATGCCACAGCTGCACTATGAGTGAAGCTGTGACTGGAAAATAAAAAGAGAGCTAAGATAGATTATGTGAACCAAAGCATAATTTAGAGCATGGAAAATGTCCATAAACTTTGAGAAAAAAAGTGTTCATTTTCTAGACCAAATCTTGTAAATCCTGTTTAGTGCCTACTGTGGCAAAATTTTGTGGATGTGAAGAGCTGTACTTGTCTTTTCAGAACAGTTCACACAGACACATCAGGTGATGTCTGCAGCCCTTGGAGTTCATAGGGGTCAAAAGTTTGGAGGGCATATTGCAGAAAGGCATTCAAGTATTGGTTTTATTTTCTGTCTGTGATATTAGATAAACAATCTCTCTGGAACCATAGTCCAGGCCTCTCAGCCCCTGATTTTCTCTATAGCCTTCCTGTTCACCAGTCAGTCTCAACTTCAGTTCACTGTTCACCAAGTGAGAACAACACTGAGAACCACATAGGGAATGATTCCCACATACTGGAAACTCAAGGCAATACTATAGACAAATTTGTATACCCTTCAAGCTGATGAACTTACAACAGCTTAGAGTAAACTTGGCTCTGAGTCCAGAAGAGTCTTGTTTTGCATTGAATTTAATCTAATTTTATTTATGGTACCTTGATTGCTCCTATCTTCAATGTTACTCAGTTTCTCCTGTGTGGCATCCAATGTTGTACTGAAAATGTCTCCTGTCCTTCTGTTATCAGCAGATATTACCACCTTGATACTTTCTTGTGAAAACTTTTGGACTAACATCATTACCTTATTTTAGTACAAACATATATTATCTCAAAAAAAATAGATTAGAAGAAAGATGTTTTAAAAAATCATGGAGAAACTCCACCAGCAATGTCTTTCCAGTCTAATAAATCTGCTTTCAATATTATCTCCTATTTCCTCCTCAGCCAGTTTCTTATTCATCTCACAAATTCTGTTCTGATCATCCTTCTCACCAGCATAACTAATAATTTCTCTTGTGCTTCATTCCTAAAGCTCAGATAAGAAGCAAGTCAAAGACAGGCAGAACACTTAGGTTCAAATCCCGGTGTACTACTTATACATTTTACAGTCCATTGCTGCTGGATAGAACTCAGAAAAAAATTGGAGACTTATTATAAAAGTATGTGTACCATCTTCTGCTAAAGTGACTAGCAGTTTTCTATGATGTGGCCCAAGTTGAATCCAAGGAGTAAAGGAATCTCACCTGTCCTGTGAATAATCTGTAACTCTTGGGACATTCTTCCAAGAGAGAAAGAAATAAGTACTTGACAAAGCTGTTGGGAAGAAAGAGGAGACTCCACTTTCTAGGAAGTTTTCTGATCATAGTTGCACACTTGCAGAATATCTGGACATTACTTAAATAACATCTGAAGAAATCACCTGAGTCACGAGTCACATTCTGTGCCAGGCTCAATGCCATCTGCACTCACTAGTCAAGCTCCAAATGTACAGAACACACTGAAGTCTGTAAGAACTTAGGCAGAGTTTAAACACTTATCTGTTTACTACCTGGATGGCATCAGTCCATTGAATTGAAGGACTCATTTCCCCAAACTCTAACTGGAGCATTTCAAATGTACAGCACACCCTTGGGTAAAAGGGATGATTTTCTGAACCAGCGAGACCAACTTAGAGAATTTCAACTCCTTTAAGTATGGTATTAAATGCCCCACAGATAATAATTAGAAAATAGAAACAGAAAAATGAAAACAAATTTCTATATTTTCAATGAATGAGAAATTGTGAACTTTGCAGAAATACACAAGTACCAATTTTAGTACAACTAAACATTCCAGGTATACAATTTTGTTTCAGAAAAAATATTTACTAACTTGAACTATATGAACTGTTTTTATGTAACAATATATGAAAAGTAGTAATGGCAAATACTTAGGGGTGACTGCTCTCTGTTAAAAAAGTACCATGTTTAAAATATCAAAAAGGAAATAGTTGACATAAAAGACTAAGAGCCTGGAAAATTTTTTTTTCCATGTATCAAGTCTTGCCAAGGGAGCACAAAAAGCATATAAAACCACAAAAAAAAAAACCTGCCTCCCTCAAAACAGAATGCAGCCAAAGAGTATTTTTAAAAGAAATAGAAAAAGGAAAACCAAACCATTTAGCTTGAGACATTGAATGCCAAATTTCTCCATGGAAACATTTTCTCCCAACTATAAATAGCTGCAATTCAGGTTCATTATAGAAAACCCTAGTAACTTTTAATTAAAGCAGTAAAATCTCCCTAATGTAACAATAAATGTAAACAAATTAAATAAACACACCTTTTAAGCTCTGTCACTATTTCATTACTTCTACTAAAGGTGCTGAGATTCCTTCAGCTTTCTGATTTTTATTCCATGAAGGTCATTCATAAGGACAGACACAGCAATAGCAAATATTCCCTAGAGCTTCTCAAAAGTAACTGAAAAACATAAAAAAGAAGGATCTGGAGGTTCAAGTCTTTTCAATCCTTCTAACCAAGCAAGATAAAGTTCTGCTTTCCTTTTCCACAAGGTGGTGTTCTGGCACAGAGGACAACTGAACAAAGGTAGGTCCATCTTGTACAAAGAACAACTCAGGAAAACAGTTTTCAACAAGAATCAGCAGAGAGGTGGCATCAAACTCCATAATGCATATCTGCAGTGACATGGAAAAATACCCAAAAAACCAGGAGAAGGCTCTATGATAAATAATATGATTGCTGGAAGGAGAACAAAGAAAACTGGTCAATCTTCTGAACACATAGATGTCTCTAAACTTTACAAGACCTAGAGGAAATAAACGGGAAGAAATTAAAATCCTTGTTGACATAGTTCACACTACTAGAAGGCAGATATAAAACATATTCATTCCCATCTTAACTAGATAAAAAATGGAGAAGATTCAAAAAACAGTGGGATGCACCTGAGGAATATCCCTCAGTAAAGATAAACTGAGCATTCTTTAACTGCTGCTGTATGCTGCTGACGTGACCACTCAGTGAAGAATAGCCATGAATGGACCATGACTAGCAAAAACACTCAACCCCAGATAATCTTTCTTCAAATGAAGTTTTCTTATGATATCACTTTATATGCATGACCTGAATATTAACACAGACATACCCCAAAAATTCCATTGACATACCAGATGTGTTTCAATAACAGCAATACATAAGATAACACTTAGGACCCTCCATATTGTTTCTGATGCTAAGTAAAAAAATGAAATGGCAAAATTGATCCTGGGCTATAAACTAGATGTCATAGATAAAACAGTAGCCTGGCATTTAATGAGTAGAAATATTGGGACTTCTTACTCCAAAAAATAATTCAGTCAACAGAGACATG